TATTTTTACGAAATATTTATACATATATCAATTTTCAATTTTGAGATCAAACTAAAAAGATCTTCTGTGACTTAAAAGTATTTATAACTTAAATTTGTAAGATGCCATTTCCAGCTATTAAATTTAAGCAACATTTATGTGTAAATGTAAAGGCAAGCAGAAATGGCATCATTTAGAAACAAATTATCCTTTAACATCGAAAGCATTTGAGCTCGCAGTGGAGATGCTACTTAAATGAATGCAACTTTGTTCTAAAGGAATCATTCTAAATGAAAGCTAAAATTATCTCAAAGCACTGCTTAAAGAGTGCAATATTGCAATATGAGGTAATAAATTCTTCTACTTTCAGCTAGGAACGCACACTTCTGACTGCATTTGTGTGCAAACTTGTAGGTGTGCAGCTTCAGAGGCCACTGCAGTTTGCGTCATTCTATTGACAGCATCTGTTTTGCATTTATGCAGGTAAACAAGTTTGTGCCTTGGAGTTTGTGTTTTATTACGGTCTTGCATCTTTATCCTTTTCATATAAGTCATTAAGGCCTATCATTTCTATGAATGTTCAGCAGATTGCACTTTGTACCGAGCGCATAACTCATAGAACACAGCATAGAGTATGCAGTGCATAGCACATAGTAGAAAGGACATAGTACATAAGCCAGTACAGGCGTGTCTAGGTGCTGCGGAGTTGGAACATATTTCAGATGTACGCAGGCATCAATTACAATGTAATGTACGTAATTATGCACTAATACTTAAAATTCCATAAAGGTGTTTCAGGCGCAATTATTTATGCTGTTCAACTGATAATGATACCATCATTTAATGCATTTGAGTAATCGTCTGCCTGTACAGGCATATCTAAAGAAAACACTTCTAAGCAATTACGTGAGGCACGTACTTGTAGATAGTGCTGGTGTTCGCAATGGTTTGAGTCGAGTTGAATGATTACCACACAAGGATTCTGTACTAAATTTGACATGAAATTACAATAAATACTTACTAAAATGTAGATAAGAGTATGCATTGAAGCTGCAACTTTAATAATTGACGGCGTTTAAAATGTGCATAAAGCACATGCAATTTTAATCTGTTATGCATTTAAACTTCAAGCTTCCAATGTTCTATTTTCTGTGAGTAGCTGTAAGTAGCATTTGAAAGATTTGTTGGTACATTTGCTAGAATTTCATTTGATTTATTTAATTTGCACTATAAAAAGGATTCACAGTGAATAATTTATCAATTTTGAAATCATCGAACCCAAAATGAAGTCGACATTGTGTTCAGTCATACAAACAAAATTGTGCAAAGTCCAGAAACAGCAGGCCAAGTTGACGTCCTCGCATAGACGTCCTTGGCTATTAATTCGTTTCGGTCAAAGGCTGCAGTCATTAAAGTGGCCTAAATAAATAAAATTTTAATTTTAACTTTTTGGACAGCTTGGTTTTTTAGTATTAAAATAGCATGATTACAATATATACGCACAGAAGACTGCACTTAATAAGAAATTTTACGTAAAGACTAAGAGAATTAAGCATTGATAATCAAGAAATTTGATTTTAGTTACTAGTAAAGAAAGTGAAAAATTTGTTTATTGTTCTAAATTAGTTTAGGATAAAGATAAAGAGCCTATCTGGATAAAGCTTTTGTATATACATATATGTCTTCAAACGTTTTTGCATTTTAAATACAATATGCTGCCGGCTAAATAATTATTCGATTAAACGAATTTCTTAAATAATGAACGGTCAAATACTTCTATATAACATACAAAAAATTTCAGTCTAAATAATGAATGGATAACCTACGAAATAATAGAAGGTCTTGACATTAAGTCTTTACAACAAGAATCCACTGTACTGTTAATTTAAATTTCTATCTAATGGGAGTAAAACTTCCTCGTATCTGTATCCGCTCCTCCTGCCTGCTGTCTTTTTCATAGGCTATCGACTATCGCTAAAAAGGAGAATGTTGCACTTAAGTTTATCGAGTACCTCTGGCCCGCACACTTTGCGTCTGTCAAGCGTCCCATGTTTGAAACTTCCAAACCCTATGCTTTCAACTCTTTCAGTTATGTCGTAAAAGAAAGCTTAACTTTGCCCATTTTTAACACTGAAAACAGTGACGGCACCAACTACCCAGCTAACTGAAAGTTGATTAGGCGGGTTGTGCTCAAGCTCTATATGGAGATTATTACCCTACACCTTGGCCCCTCACCAACAGCTGTGATATAGGCTGGCATCAGGAGCATATCAAGCTGATCGCCAGTTCATATCAATGTTTTGCGAATCGTAAGAATGGCAATACTTTCTTAAAATAAAATCCCACAAAAAGCCCGACTTCGCTTGGAAATCAGATAAAAAATGTTAACTAGTCAATTCAAATGCTTGTTTCTCCATACTAAACCTAGAAGGTATTTCGAGATTTTCTATACTTGCTAACAGAAGGTCCTCATCTATATAACTTGTTCTTAAAATGTTGACGTATACATGACTTTTGACATTTGTTATCATTCTTGAGTATTGAGAACAGATCCGCATCAATTTGTTGTTGATAGAAGTTTCTGTTCACTACTGCTAAGGATGTCATTGCCCTAGGCACAAACAGCTGCTCTGCTTTATAATATTTGAAGTCTATTGCAAACTATTTAAAATTTTTTATTAAAATCTACTTCACAGTTCACAATCAAAGAAGGAAACGAAAAGAATTGCATTTCCTCTTTAGAAGTATTCTCGAATGATTTCCACTACTTGTCAATATGACAAGTCACACTAATTGAAAAAAAAAAACAAAAATAAAGTCATTAAATAGGATACAGTGGCATGCATAATAATCTCAATTTTTTCCCTATTTAAATTAGCAATTATGCTAATTTACAAGTGATAATTTCATTTTGATGTCAAACTACAAATAAAAGCTGTTCGCATTTCAATTCACAACACTCAGGAGGAGCAAAAACAAGTAGAAATTTTAATGTAAATTATTAGCATACATTTTTCCTGCTTCACCCTGCTTCGCCCTGCTCTCCTGCTTCAGTTTTTCTGAGAAACAGGAAAAATAATGTCTTTTTTGTATTTCGTATATTCAAATTTAAAACTACATGAAATGTTAATGTAATTCAATATCTCTGCGTCAGAGAGCGGTGCAGGTGTGAATATACTTGAGTAAAATAAAACATATTTTCACGGCAAGTTGGAGGAAATTGTAATTTATAAGCAGTACAGCATGGAAAGGAACTTGGATTTATGCTTCTCAAAAAGTACTTAGGAAGTATCTGTGAGTCATCATGTGTGCGCTTGATATTTTGCTTCCTGTGTTTTGATTCGAAAAGCACAGAAAATAATTCTGAAATTTAATATATTGAAAATAAGACAGATATACTTTATATATATATATATATGCTTTTATGAAAACAATGTGAAAAATTTTTAATGTGTTTTGATCAAATAATGAAAGTCACTTAATACGTTCAAATATTATCCAAAAACTCAAGCTGTAGCGTTTAGTGACTTATTTTCCGTGCTTGAGATTGCATGGGGTTGCAGATGGAATGAATAATTCCTTCTGCAACTATGAGGTTTTTAAATTATTATAAAAGCGATAATAAGTCATTTTTATATATGTTTCAGCAGCATTCGAGACAGCAATAAAACATTTCACAGTGGGGGACTTACGCTGATTTTTCGCACTATCAACGCTAAATTTACACTCGTCGTCGTCGCCAAGCACCAAATCGACTGTATGCGGAATCTGTATCTGCCACTTCACACTTATGTTTTAACAGATTTTTTCATCCTTTCGTCTTTTCGTCTTCTCGATTTTTTGGTGTATTTTGTTTCGTGTGTGGGATACTTTGTGTATTATTTTTTGCTCATATGAAAGTCTGTATACGTATTACGGTTCTATTTTTTATGCAAGTTGCTCTGGTATCTCAAAAGATTTACTTTTATGAATGAAACACTGCGAAATGCAAAAAAGTACGTAACAGAAAAAAAAATAAAAAAAAATAAAAAAATATGAGCTACAAACTTACTTCATGTTGCATGCAATATAAAATTAGCATAATTTTATGCTTTCCTTTTGTAAAGTGAATCTGTTGGAGTAAAAACACACTTTTGAGGGTTTCTTAGCAATGATGCAGTTCCATCAAGTTTTTATGACTTACAGAATGTTGTCTGTCATTTTATTAGTCTGTATGAGCTCGCACACTTAACACAAAAACTTTTTCCACTTCATTGGTTTAGATAAACGTGCAGCATTTCAACGAAAATTTATTTTGTAAAAGATAATCTCGAAAACCAACTATCTTGTGAAAAGTTTGCCTAACCATTTT